TTCCCCAGCCAGCTTTGCTGGCTGGGGAATTGTGGGAGTTGAAGTCCTCCAGGCTTAAAGTTGCCAAGGTTGGAGACCCCTGCTTTACACCGAACAGGCATTGATATTGTGACCTGAAGCCCTTGATTTTTCATGTGCAGATATATTCCTCTTCTGTGTGAAAAATAATTAGTACAGTAATAGAATACAAGTAGTCCTCGACTTAGAACAGTTCATTTAGTGACATTCAAAGTTACAGTGGCACTGAAAAAAAGTGAGTGATGACCATTTTTCACACAACCGTATGCGAGCATCCCCATGGTCACGTGATCAAAATTCAGACTCTTGGTGACTGACTGTCACAGCCAATGACGGTTGCATTATCCTGGGCTCATGTTGGCCCCCTTTTATGACCTTCTGACAAGCAACGTCAATGGGGTAAGCCAGGTTAACTTAACAACTGTGTTGCTACCGTAATTTTGACAACTGCAGTGATTCACTTCAGCGTGGCAAGAAAAGTCGTAAAATAGGGCAAAATTCACCTAGCTACAGAAATTTTGGGCTCACTGGTGGTTATAATTCGAAGACTTACGTTATGTTGTGTTTTGTGTATGTGGGTGCTTTTAAGTCACTGCTGGACAACTTGTGGTTTTCTTCACAAGATTTTAGGAAGGGATTTGCCATTGCCTCCTTCCTAGGACAGAGAGAGAGAGAGAGAGAGAATGAGAGAGAGAGACTGGCCCAATGGCACTCCACTGGTTTGCTATCTAAGAGAGGGCCAGTTAAAGTGCTTCAATTCCTATACCTAAAAGCGCTCTTGTAGTATACTGGAGCTAGATAATGATTGATCCAGATAATTAGAATCCAAAGTACTTAAACTGATGACTCTTGAGGATTAGTGTAATTTCCATTCTTTTTTGTGCCATATTTTTCTGTGGTTTCATTTATGTTGGATTTCCTGACAAATATTAGCAGAGAAGTATTTGCAATGCATTGATTAGAGTTAAAGGATCCTGCAGAATGTGTAATGATTGATCTTTTGTAGACTTTAACAAGCTGTGATCACAGAGGGCAGTATGAGTGTCCTTTGCTTTATAAAGGACATCCAAAATTAGAGTCTACCCAATGCCTGCGCTAATTCTCAAGGCACAATCTCATGGCTCTTAATGATGAAAACCTATGCATTTTGGCATGATCTTCCATGCAAATTTTTTTATTCTTTTTTTAAACAAATTTTATTCAGTTTTTCCAAAACAACATAAAAAAAGCTCTTTTCAGTGTACAACATAATTTCGAGTCACCACTTTTACATGCAAATATGACAGTAATTATATATTCATTTTTACATTCAACTTCCTATCTTATCTATTTTTATCTTAATTCTATTATTACTTCTCCATTTCAACTTTTACATAAGAAAAGGAACGAACAATTTAATTCTGTTAAGTGATATTACTTTCATTCTAAACATCTCAATTCCTTTCATTTTATTTCAAATATATTTCTTAAATATTAACATTTCTTTTAAACGTGGACTTTTCCAAAGTACTCTTTTCTCATTTTACCTCTCAGCTTTTACATAAGAAAAGGAACAAACAAATTAATCCTATTCATTAATATTACTTTCATTCTAAACATCTTCTCAGTTCATTTCAATTTATTTCAAATGTATTTCTTAAGCATTAATGTTTCTTTTAAGCGTAGCCTTTTCCAAAGTACTCTTTTCTCATTTAAATTACAAATAGTTCCCATATCTTCATACTTATTCCCTTTTAATTATTTTGTCTGTCAAATTAGCAATTCCATTGCATATTCTTTCCATAAAATCTAAATTAATACAAGCTTTTACACATAAAACAAAACATAAATTTCCCCTCCCCTTTTACTAGTTTGTGGGTGTCACCTCAGTGGTTTAAATATACCTTAATTCCCTCATCTATAATTCCCATTTAAACATCTATTTTACTTAGTTATAGTAATAATCATTCCCTAGAAAAAATAAACTACTTTACCTGTACTTTTCAGTCAGGTTCCGCAATGTATTTTCTCCCTTTACTTCCATAATTTTTTTTATAATATCAAAATAAATAAATAAATAAAGTAAAAGAAAAAAAAACAATCCATTTAACTAATCCTGGTCACTGATATTAATCTCATTTTTAAACCTCATGAATTATTTCAATCATTTCAATTTATATAATAAACATTAACCTTTCTTGTAAAAATAGAAATAAGAACACACATTCATCTTCTAAAAAGATATCAGTGTCCCTCCCTCCTCTCAATAGTCCATATTCTATAATTTATAATTGCAAAGTACATTATTATTACTCCTCATATCAATGCGGAATCCCCCTTTTTAATTCATTAACCATTATCCCTATGTAATCTAGGTAAAGAATTTTTTTCCTTTATTTTGCAATTCCCATATTTCTTTCTTTCCTGTTCCTGTTCTTCATTACCTCTCTTCCCTTTTGTTTTTCCAAATCTTTTCTCCCTCTGATTTATATCCCTCTCTCTATATATATTTTCCTTCCCCCTTTTACTTTTCTGCTCTTTCTATCTTTCCGATTTTTACAGGTATTCTCCATTTTAGTTACTTTCTTGAATCTCCCATTTTAACCCCCCTTCTTTTTCCTCTTCTTTGTGGTGTTCTTTGTGTTGATTGTTTATTTAAGATGGCTTCTTCTTGAACTAACTCCTCCTTCTCTGAGATTTCTTCATATTCTTCAATCGCCATTTCCATAGCTTTTAACTCATAGGCAAGTGATTCACCTCTTGCATGTAGTAGTTATTTCAAATTTTAAAGTTCCATTTTTAAATCCCTCAGAGATATCATCGTTGCACACTCTTATATATTATAGTCATTAAAATCCACAAATCAGCTTCTCTTTTTTTTTTCTCCCAGAATTTCTTTATTCTATTGATATTTGCAGTACCACTTATTGTCAGGGATATAATTTGGCTGTGCCACTTGGAAGTGGGTCTTTAAAAAGTTAATCATTAAAGATACAGAATTGTGATTACACTATTGCTTATGCTTTTGAGATGATTTAAATACAGATGTGATCATGGTAGAGCTCTAGCCTGAAATTTGCAGGCATCCTTTATGATTCTTCACTGCTACTTATGTTTAATCAGCAATGTTATGGAGCCTTTTTGAATTCCCTGGATACAGCCAAATATCACCAATGGGGAAAGAGGAAGAGGTTTTGGTAGCTACTGTTATGGTATAGTATGGTATGTGGACTTCTAGTGCCAGATATTCTAACTGGGGTGTGGCTATCGAAGATTTGGGCTGATGTCCAAGTACTGGTTGAGCCAAACTGCAGGGACTTGAGAGATTATTGCCCGAGCCTTGCAGAAACGAGAAAGGAAACTTTGCACCAGAAAATAAAGTCCACATTGAACAGGCAGGTCAGTTCTTCGTTAAAAAGTAGTTTTTGCCCCTATATTAGACCTGCATATGTTCTTTCACCCTTTTGTTGATCATTATAGAATAGCTGAAAACTCATTCCAAATTTTTTTGCTTTAATGAAATTCTTTAGTTCACTTTGTACTAATGTTCCCAATATTTCTCAACTGTTGTTACTTGCTCCATTGTGCATTCTTTGATTTTAATCTGTTTCTAGCAATCAAGACATTTCTTTCTGACTTACAGTTTTTTGCCCCAAAGCTCCTATTCAGTTATAAACTTCAGAGCTCCCCAAATCTCTTATTTGTAACAGTCAGACTAACAATTTGATAGTCTCCATGAAAATTAAAATTTTAATTTAATCTAAATAAAAAAAAATTTTTAATGTCTCTCCAAATAGAGTGTGGAACGGGTCCTGCATTGATGTTAGTTGTACATGATGGCAACTATTCTTCAAAGGTTTTAAAGTGAAACCAACAATCTAGAATAGATTCTCTCTCACTTACCCCCACCATTTATTGTTGTTGTTATTGTTATTATTATTATTCCTTGCATTTGCTATTCTCTCGTTCAGCTTATCGCACAAATGAAGGACAGCCATGGGTATTGCCAGTTGTCCGAAAAGTGGAAATGATGATTGCCAAGAATGCCGATTTGAATCATGAATATCTACCTATTCTGGGTTTGCCAGATTTCCGTACCAATTCCTCACGAATTGCACTAGGAGAGGATAGCCCAGCCATCAAAGAGAACAGGGTAAGCATGAGGCTGGAAAAGAAAATTTTGTTGCCAATCATCATTGGCCTCTTAAAGATCTGTGAAGTGTTGGTTCATCAACTACCCAGCCCAGCTACATTTTTTGACACAACTGAATCATCATACAGCTGCCAAACAAAACAAAAAAAATAACAATTTTTAATGAAACAATTCTATTGATCTTAGAGAATAAATTCTAAAAACACATTTTTGAGAGAAATGCACTATGTAGTTGAAACAAGTAATTTTACCTGTTTTGGATGATATGGATCACTTAGGTCAAGAAATTGGACAAACCGAAACATTTGGAGATAAGAAGGATGGACAGAGTGATGTGTTATATTTGAAGTAGAATTTGTGCAATTTGATTGGATGGAACCATTAGGAGAGAGCAGAGATCCCACGGTGTCAGATCTTATGCTAATTTGGATGCCAATTTGAAAGGAAGGGTGAATGGTCCCCTTACGACTCAGTATTTCTTTCCCTCTATTCCAGGTGGGAGGTGTCCAATCCTTGGGGGGCACTGGAGCTCTCCGTATTGGAGCAGAGTTTTTGAGACGATGGTATAATGGAACCAACAACACAGCTACCCCTGTCTATATTTCTGATCCTTCCTGGGGTAAGTGCAGAGAGCTGCTAATATTTTTGATCTGGAGTGGAGCAAAAAGGGGGAAAAAAATTCTGATTTCTCCAAAGTGATGTATCCAGATGCTTGGACTTCAGCTCTCATGATTTCCAGCACAGCCTTTGTTCATTGCTGGGATTTGGAAACGCTACCCTCTTAATATAGACCACATAAGGCAGGAGTGTCAAACTCCTGTAGCGTCATGTGACATACCAGGACTTTTTTCCCCTTCACTAAACCGGGCGGGGGGCAGAGCCAGCATGTGATGCATCCGGCCAAGCAGCCGTGAGTTTGACACCCCTGACATAAGGCAAATTTAGCTTGAACCTTCTTTTTCCATAGAAAACCATAAATCTGTCTTTACGGATGCTGGCTTCAAGGACATCCGGAACTATCGCTACTGGGATGCAGCAAATAGGGGTCTGGACATTCAAGGATTCCTTTCTGATTTGGAGGTGCGTCAGGTTATCCTATAGGTTGGGGGCAATTAGATAGCAATATGAAAAAGAACACCAGATAAGGCTGGGCAATAGGCATGGGAGAGAGCACCTTTCTGTGTAGATCATTTGTAATAGCTGCACATTCTAGAGGTCAATGCAGCATTATTACACTGAATTGTTCCAGAATCGCTAAACTGAACAGTTGCCAGACAGATGGTCATCATCTTTTACTTGCTTCATTTCGCTCAGGATTCTCTTCTACGTGTATGAACTGCAAAGGGCTGGAAGCAGAACCTGTGTGTGTATAGTACTATTGAAGCATTTTTAAACTATATTTCTTCATGCTCCCAATCAATGATCCCCCAAAAAATCTATGGTAAATTTCAGAATTCTGCTGAAAAAGAGACTGAATAATCTTGACCCAGGGAAATGCTAAAATACATTTTGGTTTTTATTCTTTCTTAATAATCTTCTGAATTGTATAAACGTTAGAAGATTTTTCACTTATGAGAAAGATGTTAATACCGCTATACTACCTGCAAGATTGCACGGAAACCTTTTTATGCTTGACTTTCAGCAACTTTAGTTAACTCCAGTTCTTTTGCTTTCTTTTTCCAGAGTGCTCCAGAGTTTTCCATTTTCATTCTACATGCGTGCGCTCATAACCCCACTGGCACAGACCCCACTCAGGAGCAGTGGAAACGAATTGCTGCTGTTATGAAGGTACTGACTCTTCTGATACTACTAAAAAATAGATGCATTTTATGTTCCAAATTATTGTCATGCTTCTTGATGCAAAGGAATCCCAGTACAAAGAGCTACTATGTGAAGATTCGTTTCCCAGGAGGCAATTGAGGATACTGTGGAGCTGGCCTAAAGCTTACATCTCTCTCACTGTTCCATTCTTACAGCGCCGATTCCTATTCCCATTCTTTGACTCTGCCTACCAAGGCTTTGCCTCTGGTTGCCTGGATAAAGATGCCTGGGCTGTACGTTTGTTTGTATCGGAGGGCTTTGAACTCTTCTGTGCCCAATCCTTCTCCAAAAATTTTGGCTTGTACAGTGAGTATTCATGGGATGTTACTCAATTGGAAGATTGGGGAGGGGGCGGCTTTGTATTTTTATGTTACGTTAATCTATGAGCCACTTTGGGGCAATTCCTTTGGAATACAAGTTATACAGATCTACTGATATGAGAAGAGCAGGGCTGGTTTCTCAGTTCATGGTTGCCATTTTCCTTTTTCCTCAGATGAGCGAGTGGGAAATCTGTCCGTTGTGGCAAAGGATGCAGATAACGTGAAGCGTGCCCTATCACAGATGGAAAAGATTGTCCGTACTACTTGGTCTAACCCACCATCTCAAGGAGCACGAATTGTGGCTACAACACTCTCCACACCAGAGCTTTTTGCTGAGTGGTAAGAACAGAGCAGCACTTGTTTGCCGAGCAGTAAGAACAACGTAACAAAAAGTAGCCATTAAATCTGAAGTTATTCTTATCAATCACATTCTGTGGCAGGAAGGACAATGTGAAGACAATGGCAAATCGGGTCTTGCAGATGCGGGCAGAACTCCGGTCTCGGCTTGAGGCTCTGGACACACCAGGCACTTGGCATCACATTACAGAGCAGATTGGCATGTTTAGCTTTACTGGCCTCAACAGTGAGTACAATGGGACAAATGGATGGGGTAGGTGATTAAGGGTGCCAAGGAGGAAAAACTGTATTCAACTGTGACCTTAAGGAAGATGGGAGAAGTGCTGAGTCCTGGGAAAATATAAAGCACGGAAAAGTGATTCAGAACACTCCTCTATTGACCTTGTTGCTCTTAAAAATGAAGGTTTTGGAAAGGATTTCCAGTCCTTCTGAATCAAGGGACTGTCCCTGAGACATTTGCTTCTCAACCAGGCTTAATTTGAAGAGTTGGCAAAAGGTTTTATATTTTTACCCTGAATTGTCATGCCTCTAACCACACTATTAGTTTAGCCTTGTCGTCCGTTTTGAAGAGAGTTCATAACAGGCTTATGTTTCACTTGGTGGATGTTGACTATATTTTCTCTGCATGACTTTATTTCTCATTGACCAAATCAAGTGTTGACAGTGTATAGTAAAAAAAAAAAAAAAAGGAGGGGGGGAACTTCTCAGCTTACCTTTTATATCCTATCTTGTGGGTGCTTCTAGGTCAAATATGAAAGTTGCTTGAGATTTCTGGTGAGAACTCCTGATATTTTGTCTTTTTCCTTTCCAGTTAAGCAAGTACAATACCTGATCAAGGAGAAACACATCTACCTGATGGCCAGTGGCCGTATCAACATGTGTGGTTTGACCACAAAAAACCTGGATTATGTCGCTAAGTCCATCTATGAAGCAGTCACCAAAATCTAGGAAATCTGAAATTGGGCATTGCATATATGTCACTTCCATAGTATTTTAATTGTTTTTAAGACACAAGCTATCACGGTGAGGGGGAATTTATGCACAAGAATAGCCAAGGCGGTTGAGAAAAAAGCACCACTTAATTTTCCCCCATTACCATTTTTATGCTTCAAATCCTCTTTCCTATCCGAAACTGCTCATTGTGAATATGAGAAAGAGAGAAAATATTGTTATATTTCCATTTGTATGGAAAATTACCTGGAGGAGAATTAATAATTATATACATGCAAAAAAATAATAATCAAGGAATCCTCTAAATCATTTTGTCTCCTCCTAACTTTACTAGATTCCAAATCAGTCTTTGGATTTGAGAGATTAAAAACAAAAAAGTAGAACTTAACATGCAGTTGTATGCAATAGTTGACCTGACCTTTAATAGCCTGAATAACTGTCTCCTTCCATTTTATCAAGCTGGTAGTCTCATTGTCCTTAATCTTTGTTGCTCAGGAGATGGGACTGCAATTGTCCCAAAAGTGTCTTCTTATGTGTCTGTACCTATGTATCAGTGGGACTGAAACTAAAACGTGTTCCTTCTATAGAAGCTGTCAATTTGCACATTTAGAATTAATAGCAGCTGCTTCTAGAATTGAAGCACACAACCATTTCCTGCTGCTTTGTATGTGTACATTCTGCACTTTATGTAACTGACCCCATCTGACCGGAGCCTGATGAAGCAAAAGGACAGTGCTCCAAGGGTGGATACCAAGATAACTGGTCTAGCAGTTATGGGCTGTGTGGGGGTTTTCAGGAAGCAAGATTGTAATTACTGCTGGCTTTCAGTCTCGCATGAATAAAACTGTAAACCGTAATTGTACCTTATCCCTCAATGCAGAATAAATATTTCTTCATGCAGCTCCCATTTATAAGCCAACATAAATTTAAATATTGTATTTATTTTTAAAGCAGTATCATGATCCTATGATTGACATAAAATAATCTATTGCTTCTTCCTAGGCACTTGAGGACAAAAGACAGGAACATTTTTTTTTGCTTTTTTGTGTTCTCTAATAAACGACCAGAAAACTTATTTCAATGGGTAAATTAATATGCTAAAGTTCCCTTTGAACCCACAAGGCTCTATACCCAAACATACCTTGATTTATCTGAAATGTATTTTCTTTAAGGAAGCCTAACTTGGTGCAAGGTAGCACCAAATCTTATTATATTTACTCTTCCATGGTCTCTATAGGGCTGCCACCATCCTGTTACATCTTAAGGTCATGATTCTTTTCACATCATAATCACACTAAGTCATAATGTAGTGGTACCAGATTTGGGGTACAAAAGCCCAGATGAATGCTACAGGGAAGCTTTTCTGCCATTAAATGGAAGTCTAGATTTTTATAATACAGTACAGTACATAGTGGTTTGTTTATTCTTTGGTGTAGTGTATGAAGCTAAATATGCTTTTTCTGCTAGTTTCACTATGCTTCCACAGCTAAACACATTTTTGATAGGTTGTCTTGAAATCAATTAATACATCTAATAATGGTTGTATTTGGAACATGCCACATTTACATTGTCCAGATTCTCGCCGGCATCCAATTTTAAATTATGTAGAATGAGAAACTACATCATTGTTAGAGCTATGTTGCATAGTTGTACTGAAAAGTGGATGAGTTTTTGAGATGGCAAATCTTCAGATAATGAAAAATCACAATAGTAAGGAAACAACCCAAGTGCTACAATTCTACATGAACTTATGTTGATATAATTTATTTTTAATTCAGCATGTTTAAATTATAGGAAAGCAGAGAACTCTTTAAAAAAATAAACAGAAGCAATGGTATCCCGTAGAGGCAGAATAAATCCTTTCTTTTTACTTCACATGCAAATACTGCCTCTCCTCTATTCGAAGAACAATAAAATTGCAGTAAATGTCTCTTCAGAATACCTCTGTGGACCTGCCACTGTTAGATGTGTCTGTCCATGAAATGTTAGTAGAGCCATTTTTGGATCTTTACCAGCTTAAACAGCTGGAAAAATGGACTTCAAAACCTCTTTTAAGCATTCAATGATCTCAATTTTGAGCCTCATCAAGATGCATAAAGGCCACATTTTGGGGGGCATCTCTACTAAAACTTGTGATACATTTTTTTCTTTATCTTTCTCCATCTCTCCTGTATATGCTTTAAGCCAGGGGTGTCCAAGGTTGGACACCCCTGCTTTAAGCTATACATCAAAAGAACCAAATTTAAAACAGGTGCATCTTATTTTTCCCAGAGATCTGATATCAGTTCCTTTTTTGGTCAATTGATCTGAAGTCAGAATATCAGGGTCAAAAGCCCATTTATTAACTGGTTACAAATGACAAGGTGATTTGTACCACGATCTGCACTTCATACCATCAGCCTAAACCCTGCTGGCTCTGTTTAGCAGTATCAATATGTCTAGGGCTGATTTGGGTAATGTATGAACTTGGAGTATATGGTGCGATGTTTTTTGCATACACATGCACTCATTTCTTCTCCTGGACTACACTAATGGAGTGTCCAGCAGGAAAGAAGGCCTGTGTGGCCTCCTCCTTTATATTTTTCTCCAATGATAGTAACTGAGATGGTGAGGACATTGCCCTGCTAAGCTACTTAAAGGAATATTTACACTCCACTGATATACTGTTTTCATTTCCACTTTTTCCTGAGACTTTCTCAGCTCATATTTGCTGATGCCACTTCTGAAGCTTAAGTGGCTGCGGTCTCTTTAACCCTAAAGGTAAGGGGTGGTTAATGTTGGAGAAGCAGGTGCTGTCACATACACATGAATTTGGTCACAGTCGGCTGTCATGCTGCAGACCTGGGAAAAAAAGACAACCGTTAGAACTATGTTTACAAAAAAAGTAGTTTTTCCTGTTCTAATTCATGCAACGGATTGACTTACTAGCCAGAACAGAACTAGTATCTTTCTACATACCATGGGAGAAATTCTAGGGCCTTTTTGGCTCAAGTACAATGCATATTGTTCCTCTTAACAGTCACCTCCAAAAATATGGTTATGATTTGTTACATTAAGTATGCACAAGAAACATTTTTTATCAACCCTTAGGACAGGAAGTTTATAGAAGGTTGAAAGAAAAATAGTGTGTTTAAAAAACTGTTTACATCAGTGTAAACTTGAATCACTAAATAAATGGAAAATGGGAGAATCATTTCTCACAACACTTTCATCTTAAAATGCTTGCAAGTTCACATTTTGTAATCAATATAATGCTTATAAATCCATTCTCTGTGCCTTCCCATCTCTTTCATGTTTAACATTCATAGCAAAAAAGATGAATTAAAAATTAAGCAATTACCGCTGGAATTATTTAATATACCCCAGATTGTAACACCTTAGCAATAATTTGGCCGGGAATATTGTTCAATAGCAATTTCTGGTGACTAGTTTTCTGGTTACTAAGGGATTAAGCATAATGTTAGATATTCATTGATTTATTCCCTATTTGCACTTTTCTTAGTACAAGATTGTAGTTCCATTTAGTACAGTAATGTGGCTTTCCAGATGAATGAAACTTGTTCATTTCTGTCTTAGTATACATATTGTTACTTGTATCATTTGTAAACTTCATCTAACTAATGTTCAGCCCCTCATCCATTTTGTCAACAAGCTCAATGGTATTGAACACAGAGTCATGGTATGAATTGATGCTGGCTGTAATTTGGCTAGCTGACTAGACAGGTAGTGAGTGTGAGGAAGTGGGAACTGAGTTTGTGAGTGGGCCCTGGCTAGAATACATTGGGAAGCTGTGATGGACAATCTTGTGGGCCACTAGCAGTCTACAGTATGGACCAGTTTGGAGATACTGCATAACTTGCTTAATTCAATCATGGTTCCTTATTGTCTGATCTAGCAGCATATGATTATGCTGAGTCCAGGGTAGCCAGCTGGAGGAATAAAAGGTTTCTGAGCTTTTCCTGCCTTGTATGCCATAGCCCTGTGCCAGAAAAATACTATTAAAGCTTTACTACATTAATGATCCCTTCCATTTTGGCCAGGGAGTCAGCAGAGGCATTGCTTGGATGCTGGAATGTTTAGGAGATGTTTTCTGTGACTGTCAAACTTTGGCAATGAGTTTTATAATCAAACACTTCGTATTTGGTATAGAAACATAGAAAACTGACAACAGAAAAAGACCCATAGGTCCATCGAGTCAGCCCTTATTATTTTTAATTAATTTTATTTTCATTTATTGTTATAAATTTTATTTATTTTAATTTTTGTTGGTTGATAGATACGTGTTTATCCCAAGCATGTTTAACTTAGTTACTGATGATTTACCTACTACCTTCACTGCAAGTTGGTTCCAAGCTTCCACTACTTTTTCTGTGAAGTAATATTTTCTAATGTTGCTATTGAACTTCCCCCCTATCATTTTGAGGTTTCGACCCCATGTTTTTGTTTTTTGCTTCCTTGGTGGACTAACTGAGCCATGCAAGGCCACTAGTCAGAAGTGATAGTATTATAGGTCCATATGAAATAGTCTGGGGAAGAGCTACGAAAAAATGCAAATGTAATTTCAGTTTAAACTGGTCTCTCTCCTGATATTTAACTGACAGGTTTCTGGGTTCACACAACACATTGGACTAGCAATTATTTAGTGCGTGGATAATTTTGTCGGATAAAGTGTCTATTATGGGCCTGTCTGAAAACATAATCTTTATGTGCTATCTGAAAACAAATAAAAACAAATATAAGTATGGTTCTCTCCAGGTTGGTTTGTTTCGTTATGATTGGCCACATTGTTCTAAAATATTTAGAGTGAGTGACTTAGGAAGTAATTGGTACTGCTAAGAATAGGGCAACACATACTAACCTGTGAGAAAAGCAGAGCCATGTTGCTACTCATGTGATAAGAGATGTGAAGTTAGTATTGTCATCTGAACTTTTCTCACCGTCTGCCGAAGCTTTTCTCCTCCCACCTGCGGTATCAAGCAGCAGTATCAAAGTTGGTAATTACTGTAGAAGGAAAATAACCCTACCTCAAAACTAACAGTTCTAAAAAGGAACACTTTCCAGGTATCCCATTAGTCAGGGGTCGTAACATGCTGACTGGTATATCCTGGATACTTGCGCAATAACAATTAAGTGGGGTGGGGGAGGGCGGTGATTGTACTTGAGCAGCCAAAACTACATTCCATATGCCATGAATTTTATGGGAACAAATGCCTCCCCCAGGACTTTGATATGACTCACTAAGTGTCCAAAGCAACTTCTTTCCTAGGGGTTCCTGAGGAGCACCTGGAGATGTGCTGAGCTCCATTTCCTTGTTTGAGGACTCAGGTTCCAGCCTGACAATATAGTCTTCGTTTTCTGCAATGCAACAATAATCAAAATAAGGCTGGGATTCCTCCTTCCCTCACAGCTCATTGCATTCTTCCTGCCCTACTATTACGTGCTCTTAAATACTTACTCTGCACGCTGATTTCTGGGTGGCCTGTCAACTCCTCCTGGTTGTGGGGGACCCCCTCCATGTGCAGGAACATAGAGTCTGTGGGGCTCTTTATATTCCCTTCTGACTTGCTGGCTGCATGGTATAAAGAGACCTCAGCAGCACCTGTCAGGGCACATATCATCATAAATATATGAAAATATACAAATCTGAATACAAGCAGAGGATATTGTAATAAAATAGTTGGTTTAACTGTTTTGAGCTTGGCCTGATTAGGGCAGGTATAAATTTAAAACAGAGAACTAAAATAATTTTGTACAATAAGACTCCCACAGGCGTCTTTTTACAAAGGCACTCTAGGAAAATGTTTGGTAGTACACCTACCCACAACGCTACTTCTCTCAGTCAAGAGGACAGCAGGACCATCCTTGGGTGTCTGTGGGGTGCCTCTGACTGTGGGAGCCTTTGTGGAGTCACCATCATTGAAAACATCCATGTCGGGGGTCTGAGGAGAGCTATCCATGCGGCTGGCAGTCAGTGCGTTCTGATACTGTTGCCGAGTAATCTAGAAATCAAACAGGAATTGCCAGATAACTGCCTAGTTCTGCAAATTCATTTCTCCAGTGTTTCTAACTTCTACTATGTTTCTGCATATTTTCCCCAATCTGGTGCCACTGAAGAGTGTTGAATGCAAACAACAGATTTTGAGAGATGTTCTGCTACCACAACAAGCCTTTACATCCTGAGTGTAAGGGTGTTTTAACTTCACACATTTCCCTTTTCTTTTTCACTGACTAAAAAAATTGCTGTAAAATTACAAAACCCTGTTTCCATCAGAAGCCTATGTCTTCAGATTTTTTTTTTTTTTGGGGGGGGGGGGCTCTATGTGCTTCTATTGTTGCCTTCAGGTTTATATTTCATATTTTCCACAAATCAGGCCTTAAATAAATCCCTTCGTCTCATTTTCCCAACTCTGATTCTTTTTTGCCTCAATTCTATGCAGTTCTCACCTGTGAAGAGCTGTCCTTTCCTTATTTCATCATTTGTATCACACTTTTTGGCAGGATGGGGGCTGCCTTTAAGTCAGTTTTTGACTCCTGGCAACTGCCTGGACTAGTACCTGCTGTTTTCTTGGTATACTTTTCAGAAGTGGCTTGCCCCTGCTTCTTTCCTAGGGCTGACAGAGAATGACTGGCGCAAGGTCACCCAGTTGGCTTTGTGCCTAAGGTGAAACTAGAACTCACAATCTCCCAGTTTCTAGCCCAGTGTCTTAACCACTACACCCTCTACACATTGGTCTCCCCTCGATATCCCTTCTTCTCTGCAACATTATTTATGGTTTACTATTCTGCTCCATAGCAATGTAACTTTCCTCAACACCATACTTGCTTTCAAAATTGCATTGTTTTTGCCTTTTTTTCTCACAGATTTTAAGCAGAGAGTAATTAAAATTCTTAATGAATGGATTAATTTATCCCAAGGTTGTTGAATTCCAGGTCGCATACAACCTGAAATCATTATTCCTTTCATTATTTGGACGGTGCTAATTTTTGCTGTTTAAAAGGCAAGAAAGTAAAGAAAGAAATGTATATGTGCTAATGTCAGATAGAAAAATATAGTTAATTTTATTGGTGTTGAAATGTATAGCACTGCTGAAATGCTATGCTGCTACTGAATACTTTTCTTAAAAATAAAATATTATTTGTAAAATAAGTGAGAATTGTTATCATATGCTGGCCATTTTGCTATAACATCTATGTTTAGTGATTTGATAGAGTAAATTTATAGCACAGCTGGCAATAATGAAGAGTAAAATTATATATTCCCATAACACTTCCCACAATTTTTAGGCTACACGTGTACTCCTCAGAAGCCAAAGGTTTACAAGGATGACTTGCCTCTTCTAAAAGCTTGCTAGAAGCCAAAACTGTATGTGTTACTCTACCGATTTAACCTTCTCCCACCCATTTTTCCTTTATCATTCAATTTTGTCTTGTCTCTTCACAAGTTTACCAGATTCACATTGTCCCTGTGTTATGTCCAGCATGCTTGCTCATTAATTATGCAGTTAACAAACCTATTTTCACATAAAGTGCAATCTTATATAGACATTTTCTTGGACATGATACATGGAGTAATCCTGGCATGAGGCTATTCATATCCATGGCATAAAAGAACAATAGGACACTTCTTTCCATCACCCAGTCCAGCAGATACCTTGACAAACTGTACATCACACAGAATATGAACAGAATAATCTGGAGTGTATATGTTGTTGCTGCCGCTATGAAGTTGAGTGCTGCTGCCTCCATAGTCGTTACGTTCTCGAATTGGAGACTCAGAGCGGTTTAATCCACTGCAACGGGATGGGGATTGATTCACTAGAAATAAAGAAGAAGTGATGAACAACAGAAAAACACAGTGTCTAAAATTTGGCTTCTATGAGCTAAGGGGAAGGACTGTTTAAGATTCTTTTAACTGTTCTTAACACTGACAATTTGTCTGGAATGAACTTCACCCAAAACAACAATCGGCTTTTCATTTTGCATAAACTTCCCCCCCAAAAATCTTAATGTGTCAAAATCTCAACAACAAAATGTTACAGTATGTTTCCTGGTTCCTACATGTTGTGCTTTCTGTTCAGGCTTACAGAACAGGGACTTTGTAACAATGATCAGGACTTGCAAGGCCAAGATGATTGAAGCCTAAAAGTACAATTGAAAAAGAAAAGTACTAGATTTTTTTAAAAAGGAAAACAAAAGTATATTCCAGTAAAATCTTCTTGGTTTAATACCTCAGTCAAATGTAAGACTGCATTTCAACTGCTTCTCGTAGAATGCCTGAGGTAAGGGTGTGTGTGTGTGTGTGTGTGTGTCAGCTTTTATGCTGCCTTTTATTCTGCTCTTCTTCCAGAAATGAAGGTAGTTTGTTCCCCTCCATGTCGTATCTATACCTAACAGAGGAATCTTTTAAGTATCTCTTTATCTTTCTAGTGCCAAATTCCTATATTTAAATTCCCTTGCTCTTCACTCTCCTTTTTATTATTTGTTTTTCATTTTTCTTGCTTGTATTAATATCTCCATTTATTTCTAGGCTTCCTATTCTGGAAAAATTACTACCGTAACCTATGGCACCCCACGTCTTCTCAAAGTAAAGATCCATTCCAAGAAGACCTTACTGTTGGGAAGTTTATATAGACATAGGAGCCCTGACTATTTAAAGTAGAATTCTGAATTTCACATTTCCTTAACTTCATGTCTGAATACAATCAAAGTGTTTTTTTAATAACTCCTAATAGTTCCATCCAATCAGATAAGTATACTGGCTGATGAACTCTATAGTTATATTTCTAAAGGTCATCATTCTGACAGAAATTGCTATAATTACAGCATTTAAGACAATCTACTGACCGTGATGGTGTATTCCTGAATGGATCTGCATAGCAATTATGAATAAACTTCTTATGGCACAAGCAAGACTTTATAAACTGATTACTTCAAAGGAGGTAGTAACTTAGAACTACACCTTCCACACAATCTTAATTGTTTCCCTTTTAATGATCTGAATTACATAGGTGTTTGAATGAATGCTTATAATATATATTTTTTCTGTATTATAATGACTTCTTTACTCTCTTCAATTATTGCCACTTGGCTGCTTTACTAAGAAGTTCTTTCTTAAGTAAGACTCTCCTGCACACCAGTGAGTATATGTTTCTATTATTAACCAGAAATTGTATCTCTGCAGCAGTGAACCGCAGCTGCAGCTAAAGAGTTTCAGCCGTCTTTAATAGCTTTCTCCTCACTTGACTCAGACTCAGAACATCCTTTTGAGTAACACATTTCCTAGGGTGGAAAAAGGGTTAGGCAATGTTTAAACCATTGAGATTATATAGTGTCAATTTTCAAAACGTGGTTGTCATGAGCACAGCAATCCCAGAATGCACGTTTCCTGTAAAACAAGCCAGTCTCCAAATTATTCTTTATAAAGTCAACGAGTCCTTTGCAAGGGACCCAAGCATGTTTTTATATAAGCACAATGACAAGTTAGTCCTTTGCTTTGGACCATACTAGCTTCTTCTTTTACTAAAAAATAATCTTTCAAGTAATGCTTCTCTCCTTATATGAGGAAAATAGTAATTGTTATAATAATATGCATGGGTCTGGATACAAAATATTGCTCAGCATGGAAAAAACAGATTCAGTTGTAGACAAGCAGAACACATGCACACAAGTTCACAATGATTTTTTTTTTTTTACAAGCATGCAGGATATTCTAAGCCTGTATGTTTCATAGGAGGAAAGAGTCAGAGAAGGACACACACCCAAAATCATAAGGCAGCAAAACTGGGGTTCTTTCTGGGTGACATGTACTGTATATTATTACCTGGGGACCCAGCCAAAGATTCCCCTCGGCTGAAGGCAAACGTACGAGACACAGACACGGGCACTAGAAAGAAGACAAGGATCAGGAGACAAAAATCAGGAGAAAAGGGAAAAGGAGCAAGGAAACTTTAGAAGGAACCAAGAGTGAGCTACTCAGCATCATGGACAGGTTAGAGCAGGGGTGTCAAACGCATGTCGTCATGGCAGCATCACGTGATGTATTGTGACATTTTCCCCTTCGCTAAACCAGGCATGGGCGTGGCCAGCACATGACGCATCCGGCCCGTGGGCTGAGAGTTTGATAGCCCTTGAGTTAGAGCTATGAATATTACCTAAGCTCATTTCATTTTGTAAAATTTAGTTTTATTTCTAGATAACTTGGGCAAGGAGAAGTAAACAGAATGTAAGTTTTGAAAAGAAGTTCCTCTGCAGGCTGTCTAGCATTATATCCTGGAGATTGCATCTCACTTCACAGCATTACATTGAGACTCACAGAAATTAAAAACAGTGGATTTAATAAATACTTCATGAGCATTTATAAATCCATGATGCAATTCCACAAATCACCATTTGATGGCACCAAGAACACAGACAATGGAATGCAGAATGCTAAACACCAAATTAGTTTTAAAATATTCATGAGTTACAGACCCAAGCTTTCAAAGTTGCCTTATTTTTGCAGACTTACCTGAACTGCACTGAGTGCATATTCATTTTATTGTATTACTATTCAGAATAATTTATGCAGAACCAGCTCAAGCTTTCAAAGGCAAGGGAAATAATGCAAAAAATCACACATTCACAATGCGTCTGGCACAAATTATGCTCTTCTAAATTTTCTGTTCTGTTTTGAGCACTAAGATTGAGAGGGAGGAAGAATTATTGGTAAGAAAACAAAAACATTGTGCCAGCAGAAGCAACTGAATAAGTCAAGGATGGTGGGATCATTTTTTCAAAAAATGTATGTTGAGCCCCCAGTAAGAGATAATTAAAAGTAGAGAAAGAAAAAGAAACCAGCAATGACATGGAGCTACAATAGATGCTGCCGTTAGCTAAAACTGACTGCAGAAATCTCCCTAGGGAGCTATGGATACCTGTGGTAGATATATCAATATACTTAACTGGTCAGTCAACTAAAGGTTAGGTTTTTATATGGTTGCACTTGATTTGTTCATTACAGAAAAGGAATAGGAAAGAAAAAATACATTACACCAGCTTCGTTTACTATAAATTATAATTATGCTGACTGATATCGAAGAAGTCCAGCTGGTCTGGAAAGAACCAAGTTGGTGATCAACATATTTAAATATCTCACCAATAAATCGAGTACCAAATGGACTATGTTAGTAGCAGAACAGTATTCGCAAATGTATTTTTCTGTAGCCCTTTTCCCCTGGGATGATATCTCCATGGTTTCTTCATTCCTCATCCTGCTGTGGCTCCTTCCCTATTTTTCGCTGCCCCTGAGATGCTCAAACTTTGCTCCAAAGGGGACCAATACTTTACTGTGGAACTGGTTCAGGATAGAGTAGTAAGGCAGATCTTCTTTGTGTTTACATAACCTTAAACTGAGAAGTTCACAATTCTCAACATGAGTTAACTAACATGTTTAGCTCCATATTACACTCAGCCGTGTAGCTTCAGGTTTAGATTGTTTTGCAAACAAGACCAAGTATTTCTTGTTTAATAAACCAATCTTAAAAATAGCCTTGGCTTAACCCATAGTTCTATAGTTCTATCAACCATGTCATCAGAACTGCTGCTCTAAAACATGTATATCAAATTATATATTAAAGAATTGTTATGCTGCAAAGCTACATGATAGCTGACCCACCCCATCCCGATTCATAATTCATAAGTAGGATTGGGGTGTCAAGAAACAGTGGACTTTATTTAACTTTTCTGGTAGAGCTGGCAATGCTTAGTAAAAATGGCCCTCTATATCACCTTATTAAAAAAAAAAAAAAAAAAGTCAGGTAGAAGGTACATACACAGGAAAGATGATCCAGCCAGGCTGCTCATTTTACGCCCATCATTATCTGAAAAGACAGGGGGGAAAGGAATGTGAATACCCAATCAGACCTTCATTGTATCATCCCTGCTCAGAACAGGGAACAGACACATTTTCAGGCATAACAATATTTAGGCAGAAGGTTAATATCAACTGTTGCTTGCCTGGATCAGGCTCAAGTGAATGGCTCAAATATTGTTACTGTTTTGATTTTCAAGACCTGCCTGCTTGTAAGGAAAAGAAAATTGCTTTATAAATCTCTTTCTTCCCAACATATGATTTTCTGTTAATGTTCCAATACTGCAATTTCACTTAATATGAAATGAAGGCGTTCTGCTTAAAAATATTTTATCAATGTGTCTGTGCCTTCTTCCAAAACCTCAGAAGGGATAGAAGCCAAAAAAAGTGAGGGCTGGAAAAAGTACCATCCAGGAATCATATGCAACCTACCTGTATTCATTTTGCAGATGGGGCCAAAACACTGGGTACTTTTTTCAATTTATGAGAGTTTGAGAGGTGTTAGGCCTTGCAGATGTCTAAGGCACACATTTCACTCCTTAAAAAATCTGTACTTCCTCCTGTTCCAGGCCCAGGGTCTACTACCATTTTTGGAGCTCTTATTGCATAACGCAAAGCCTGGAGTAATTCTTGAGCTAACAGACTTTATGTATCCTTGCTACACAGATTTTTTCAGCTCTCCCCTACAATTATGGTGTCTGTCTTCACTTGTTTTTTTCTTATTTACCTTATATTTGCCTAAATGCTTAGTAAGTGGAAATCAGAATAAAATTTCAAGTTCCTGTATATTACATATTTAAGCTCATTTACTCTGAACATTCTAGGTTCTGGTTCTGTGACTTCTATCATCCTATTCTGTGGCTAATTTTAGATTTCTACCTGAACAGATGACAGTCATGATTGCTGGGACACCATAGTATGTGAAAGCACCATTTTCAAATCGCAATCCTTCTTTTCCTACTTCTACCTCCACTTTTCCCTAAAAAACAAAACAAGACAAACAAAACAGGCATGTATTCCAGCTGTACCAGTCATCTCTCTTCCATGATATTTGATTACCCATTGGAAAAAAGGAAAAATATACATAATGTAACCCAATAAAATGATTCAGGTAAGAACAAGGCCAGTCGATTCACAAATATTTGTAGGTGTTCCTTCATAAAGGAAAAAAAAAACCAGAAATATGAATCAAAATAGCAGGGAAACATCAAAAAGATATCTTGAAATATTTGGTTGGGTAGTAACAGAATTTAGACAACCTATACTTGATTTAAAGTTGAAAGTACTCAATAATACAGCAGCTATGGAAATGTCAAAGGAAAGGACAGTAAAACTGAAGATCCTAAGAAAAAATGAGCAAGGTTAACCAATCCTAAGGAAATTTATTAGGGAACTATTAAAACAATACCAGTCAATTTAAAACATAATCTTTCAGTCCCACTTCCAAATTCATGGGACTCTAGTAACGCTTTAAATTTGAATGACTAGTTGGATAATATTTAAATTTAAAAAGTATGAATAATGTGTACCAGTGATAGAAGAAAACATTGTCAAACTTATTTGGATAAAATTTAGTCACTTCAAGTCAAGTTTCTAAAAAATATTTTTCTCTTCTGAATGGTTCCTCTTTATTTTAGAGCTTGAAACAAATATGCTGTATGTAAAATTGAAACTCAGATCTGGATTTTTATTTGCAGGCTAATTACTTATTCTTTATTCTCTAATATGACCTGTACTTGAGTAAACTTGCAATTTGTGGAAAGATTTTTTTCATGATCAGAACTCTGTAGCCATCCATGAGAAATATCTAAAGCAAATTCTTGGAACATGTCCTTTCCTATTCTTGGTACCAAGATTCCATATTTATATACACATTTATTTCCCAGGTTTTTTAAGACTAATTAATCATATAAATGCTTCCTATAGTAAATAATAAAGCTGCCACAAATTTCTGTCACAATCTTGACAAACCTGTAAAATGAGCACAAAATAGTCAACTGGCCTGTTACGCTGATAAAGATAGTGATCAGGTGCTCGCTTGTTTTTGTGATCAAATTTCATCTCCTGGATGACATTGGGATGTTTGAGAAGCCGTAGCAGGATCTTCTCTGAGAGATGTGGTATCTTGAAAGGTTCTATCTCTGCAAAGGAAGAAAAGAGGAGAGCAGTAACTATATTTTCTCTGCTTGGACAAGTCAGGAGAAAGGTATTCGGAGAAAGAGTTTTTTTTTTTCAAATTAAAAAAATACTAAGAATTTGAACTATAGTAGTAAAACTAATAAAAACTAAACTTAGAGAAAAAGAATGGACAAAGAATTAGTAGTGCAGGAACAAAGAATGAAAAAAAGGGAAAAATGCAGTAAAGAAAAATAAATAAATATATAAAGAAGTGATTTCCACCATTCATCAGACATATAATTCAATATCTTTCACCTTCTCTATCTCTCTTCACCCAATATCTCATCCCTTATCTACAGGCAAATTTATAAAACATCAACTTTTGAATCCTAGTATCAGCAGAAAGTCCATAAAGAGTTGCTAGAATATTGCAAAAAAAGTCTTATAGCCTTGATCAAATATACAAACTTTATATTATAGCAAGGATGTCAAACTCAATTTCATTAAGGGTCGCATCAGGGCTGTGATTGACCTGGGAGGGGGATGGGCGTAGCCAACTGGGTGGGCATGGCCAGCTTGATGCCACTCCCCAAACTGCTGGCATGTTTCCTCTTCGCACTGGGTAGACAAGGCCGAAGCTATGCTGGCCTGTTCTTCCCTCTTTGCACCAAACAGACCAGGCTGATCTTTCCTCTTTGCATTAGGTAGACCAGGATGGTTCTGCAAGCTGGATTTGACCACATCCCGGGCCAGGTGTGGCCTGCGGGCCTTGAGTTTAACACCCCTGCATTACAGCCTTTATATCTAAGTCTTAATCGTTAATTCAAATATTGTCATAGGATTTAATTTCTCTTCAATTCTTCTTTATCCCAGATTTTTTCACATATTTTTTCAAAGTTTTAACAAGCCTCTTTTGTAGGTCCAGTAAGAAAATATTTTCCACCTCATTTTCTTGGTTTATCATTTGTATTTGTATTTTTAAAACTTCAGCAAGTTTCTTTTATATATGCAGAAAAACATCCTCTTCCAAATTATTCGCTTGGCCTGCCATTTGTAGTTCCACATTCTATACTTTTTCTGTCTTATCACATAATTCTTTTTCCACATCTGTCATTTCTTCATTAATATATGCTTAAACATATATCCCATATATTCACAGAAGCAGACGTCATTACTAACAGTGTGGATATTGTAGTTGCTAACTTCTGGCCCAATTCTTCAACTATTTCCTTTTATATTTCCAATGTTATAACATTTTGTATTATTTTGTAAGTCCCAGTTTTAACTGACATTAATTCTCTTTAAAATCTTTCATCCCCTCTAAAGTTCAGTTTCTAAAATAATAAGTTATCTTTTGTTATGACTTGCATTTGCCTGGATAGCAAAAGTAAGTCTCTTTCTCATGAGAAGTTGTTTTATTTTTATAGATAATTCTAAAATCTGAATCTTTATATGGAGCTTAATGAATTTATAATTTTCTTAGATCAAAATCTTATTCATCTTTTTGCTATTTATTTCAAATCCTTTATGTCCTTAAGCTTGTCATTAATTTTTCTTTTCTCCAGAGTTGAAGATAAATGTACTTGATAAATACTTTTCAAATTTGTTCTGAAGGTCTCTAATAGCTTTATTCTAATGAATAAGCAATCTCTGTAAATGATTAGAAAGTGAGCGTTGCAAACTTAGTGTTCTTTAAAACAGCTGTCTCCAACCTTTTCAGGTTTATGGACCGGAAGGGAAGGGGAAGGGGAGAGAAAGATTGGTTCCACTTGAGCGGTGGGAGAGCAAGTGCGTGTATACCCAGAGCAAGTGCGTATATGCCCGTGGCCTGGTTCTGATTGGCCTACAGCCCAAAGGTGGGCAGCGGCCCGGGAGTTGGGGACTCCTGCTTTAAAAGGCTTTGCTATGGTCACAAGTAAGATAGCTGATTCCATGATCTCCCAACACTCAAAAAATGTTGTCCTGTGGCCTCTTTGTGAGAAGCAGCCATCCAAAGCAAACATGGGTGATCTCCTCTCATTTGGAGAGGTGCCAAGGAAACAGTTTATTCACTGGTTCCTTAGCCCTCACTATAGTTGTCAGCTATCCTTTTGCAGAGGTCTCTTCGGGTCACCATATCTTACCCCAGTGGAAAAAGACAGTAGTGAAAGAAAAATGATGCCATTACACATCTTATCCACTCTACTCTAAATTAAACTGGCTGCTTAAAACATAAACCACAGAAGAGTTGGATGCCAAATCTTAAGATTAAAAAAAAAAACCATGAATGCCATTCTGTTCTTAGAAAAGCATAATTCCAAGTTACTCAGGATACTGGCTAATAGCATGAGTATCAAACAATAAGTACCGTATTTGCCGGAGTATAAGACGACTTTTTTGCCCTGAAAAAGATGCCTCCAATTGGGGGGGTTGTCTTATATGCCGGGTCGTCTTATACGCCGGCAAATAGTAATTGGGAAGCACTGCGGCTGCCCGCGGCTGAGGCACTTTTGCGCACCGTGGAAACGAATCCCGTGAAGCCGAAAGGAGCAGCCAGCCTTCTCCCAGCTCCCAAGGAAACGAGGCTCGCACCACCCGAGCTCCGCTGAGGTATCCGGCTGGGGCTGTCAGGAGTTGTTACCGCTGGCGCGGGTCCGCGCGGCTCCAGTCCCGCGTTGCCTCGGGAAGGGAAAGGCAAAACCAGGAGCCGCTGCTGCCATTACAAAGCGCCGCCGCGGCTCTTTCTTTTTGCCTTTCCCTTCCCGAGGCAACGCGGGACTGGAGCCGCGCCAGCGGTAACAACTCCTGACAGCCCCAGCCGGATACCTCAGCGGAGCCCGGGCGGTGCGAGCCTCGTTTCCTTGGGAGCTGGGAGAAGGCTGGCTGCTCCTTTCAGCTTCACGGGATTCGTTTCCACGGTAGACAAAAGTGCCTCAAAAAAAAAAAAAAAGTGCAAAAGTGGAAGGCGTGCGGAAGAGGGGGCGAGTATATAACAAACTATATTTTGAGTGGAAATGTTGGGGGGTCGTCTTATACGCCGGGTCGTCTTATACGCCGGCATATACGGTATCAAAAATGCAGCAACAGCTTAAGAAGAGCCAGATACCTGTAGCCATGAAGCGATGAGTGGCCAGTAGCAGCTGTGGTGAGATCTTTACTCTCATCTCACTATCTGAAAGGCTAAAGATGGAGAAATCATGAGGTTTCCTACCCCGATGGGGGATCCTTTCCTTTTTCTGATTGTCCGCTGAGGATTAAGAAAGTAAAAAATACAGTCACACCTCTGAGAATTTAGAAAAGACTCAGATACAACTCAGACACAACTATCTCAGTTCCTAGCCTGAGTTCCAATTTTCTACAGCATTGAAAATATTATCAACTCTGTCCAACCCAAAGCTATTGACCCCCCCACCCTTTTTTGGGGGGAGGGGGGGAGGAAGCTTTATTAAAATACAAACTACAATACCTAAGCAATGTGAAGTGTTAACAAATTTCAGGGGTTACCAAGCTTATGCCTTAGATTAACAGGATATCAACTACAGACACAATACATAATATGTAATTTTAAAAAGAATTTGAGTATGAGAAAAAGAAAACAGAATCATCAAGCAAACTTGTAATATTTCCTTAAATTGTTACTGTATGTACTTTCAAGCAACGCTGCAGTCCTAAACATTTTTACTTTCAGTGAATTTGTTTCTAAGTAAATATGTACAATCAGCAGTACAGCTGTTTGTTTTTTTTCCTTAAGAAGAAAATAAATACCATGCCTTCTTAAACTTTTCTTAGTGGAGACAATGTGGAGAAATCCTTGCAGTTTTCTTGGCACTGCCTCCTTTGTAGAGTTGATAAAGTTTGATGAGAAAGCTACCCAGTTTGATGTGGCGGTAGAACTCACACTTTCCCAGTTTATAGCTTGGTGCCTCAATTACTACACCAAACTAAAATCTAGTCAGTAAGATTCCACATTGTTGGAGTCTCCAATCTTAAACATACACAATTACATCTCCCATTCTAGTTCCACCATTCAACATTAAAGGTATTTTTCATAGTCCATTAATGCCCAATGTTTAGTCTTACAGGAAAGAAGGAATGAAATGAGAAAGGTCTCATTTTGGAAGATGCTATTTCAAGAATTTGCATTTGTGCTAATGAGATATTAATATCCAGGGATAGACATATACTTATCCCATTTCATTTAGATGGGCACTGAAGCTGAGATGTATGGGATTCTGGTTTGTCATCAAAGCAATTGCTGCCCTAACTGAAAGCTGCTACTACACAAGAAAAAAAGACTGGCAAGTTCTATAGGGTCTAATTGGAGAATAAGAAGAAGCTGTGTTCAACAAGTAAGAATTGTGGAAAGGGAAATGAAGATATTTTATCAAGGATTTTATAATTGCTAGAAACAAAATTATAATCCCTGTGTTGTTATTTCACCCCCAAACCATTTTTGGGTCTTCTTAGTGGGCCCCCTAATACTTACTATAGAGATCTGTCTCATCCAGAATCTCCGATTTGATTATCTCTTCAATCACATCCTCCAGAGTGACAATTCCCATCACCTCATAGAAAGGGTCTCCTTCCCCTTCATCATTCACTCTCTGCACGATTGCAAGGTGTGATTTACCTAGAAGGAAAGAATAAGCAAAAACAAATTGTGCAGGAGATATTGTGTTTAATGCCCACTGCGCCCAAAATAAGATAGGAAGTGGATTACTTGAGGATTCTGGGCCTTTGACTAATGTTCACTAAGAAGCGACCCCCTTTTGAAACGGGAATGAAAAGCAAAATTATTCCAACCACCTGCTCCTCCATGTGAAGGAAATGTTTAAGCAATGCAAACATAGACTTGATGTTGCTTCTTGAAATTCAAGAATATATGCTACTTTCCATACAGTGAAAAGTAAGTTGAAGGAACTGTTATCTTGGGCCCTGGAGAAGGAAGGAATTTATAATGATGGGAGAGAAAAGAAAAGAAAATGAAGTAGTTACTTTGGGATAGCACACTTTTTATTATGGTTCTGTCTCTACTAGGCCCTATTCCTAACTATATAATGGTGATGACTGACCTTTATCATGTACAAATCCTGTCAATGTACTAAATCTGGAATAACTGTTAAGAAAACAAACTGAATGTTATTCAATTAGCCCAATTAAAGCAAGCCACACAATACAGGATTGAACACTAGCTAAATCTCATCTCAGCTTTGATCACCATTTATAATTCTCTTTAAAGTGGCATTGTTGCATAATTTTTTAAAAATGTTCATTCTTACACTTTCTGATGTTAAGCACAGTGCAGACTTCTTGTTTTTCTCTCTGATGCTGCTCCACTTAAACTTCTTAGCCATTCTGATCATCTACTTTGTGGTATTTAAGATACAGGTTTTACTAGATACTCATTCTACATAATGCTACTTAACAATTAGCTTTCTGTGCTTATTCTATCTGCTTATACAACTGGCTATCATACCTATCATAGCTCTGAGAGAACCAGGGAAAGACCCTTCATGGCTGTCCATAAGACCGAGGTACATTCCTCAACCATCAAGAGTTCACCTGCTGCCTCATCCCATCCACCCCAATTTAGATGTCCCACTACAAGGAGAAACCAGTTTTGTCCTATGCACTACACTCGTCATTCGCTGAATAGCTGCACTGGATTTGCAGCGAAATCACTGACCCAACAAAAAGAGTTACTAAGGGAGTACCAATACTGCTACAAGTGTTGTGAATCCAAACACCCATCCAAGTACTGCGCAGCCAAGGTGCAATGCGACTTAAGCAATAGTGACCAGCACCAGACTGCGCTGCATCCAGACTCCAAGCCGCCACTGCAGATATCTCGTAACCCTCCTTCGGACAAGGAGCCTCAATGTATCACAGAAGCATGCAGGGCTCCTCGGCAGACTACCAAACCGCAACCAAAACCAAGGATGAGTGTCAACTGCACAGCACTGTGCGCCGACTCACCATGCCCTCGTTCGTGTCTTCCCATCTGTTTAGCCAAAGTGTACCCTGAAGGATGCCCTGAAGATGCAGTGAAAATGTACGTGCGGATAGACACTCAAAGCACCTGCACCCTGGCCAGACCCGCATTCTTCAACCTCTTTGAGGTGCAACAGGACGAACTTCCCTTCACTGTATCAACGTGCCATGGACCAAGAAGCATGGTGGGGAGAAGAGCTACTGGAATCTGCATAGAGTCATTGGATGGAAGTTCCCGGTTCCCACTACTGCCCGTATTTGAATGTGATGGGGTACCGAATGACCGCAGTCAGATCGCAACACCTGAGGTCATAAGTACCATGCCTCACCTACAGCACCTGGCTCATCACTTCCCCGCTCTAGATCCGGAGGCTGATATCCTATTCTTGCTGGGAAATAATGCCCCACGCACTTTTCTCTTCTCCGAGTCAGTCAGCGGCCATGTAGATGGCCCAGTGGCCATCAAATCTCCACTAGGATAGGGGATCGTAGGAATTGTCAGTGTCGATTGGATGCAGGCTCCAACCCAGGCAAATGCCTTAGCACCACCCATTCCAACAGCCTTCCGACGCCCTTTAGCACCATCGCAAACAAGAATGACGTTCCAGCCTAAAAGGCCACCGGCAATCAGTACACTTTCGCTAGGACACCCTAAATGGCCACCAACAACCACCAGACGTCCACTAAGACACTCTACACGGGAATATGCCTCCGCAACACCCTTTCCAACAGCTTCCTAATGCCCTGACACCGTGGAAGCAAGAGTACCATTCCTAAAAAGCTGCCAGAAGCAACCACCAGACTTTCACCTTTGCCACCAAGAGTACCTGTATACCCTAAAAGGCCGCCAGAGGTGACCAGCAGACTTGCAACAAGAGGCCGAACTTGAAGACTGAACCTCAAGCTTTGCATGCTTTGCTTTGTTTGATGCTTTATTAATGTTGATTGTTTCTCTTAGTTATATTATTTTATATTTTTATTTTATAATATAATATTATATAACTATTTATCTTAGTTATATAGTTATCTGCTATTCATAGTATGACTGTTTACTGATTATCTTAGTTTATAGTTAATTTTTTCATCTTCTCTTAATAGTGGAATTTACAATTCCAGGCAGAGAGTGTGCTGTCCCAGCCAGTCTATGGGAATTGGATAGTTACTTAGGAATTATGAGCTGTCCCCTTAAGGGAATGCATCATGGTAAATGTAGTTAAAGGTATACTGGGAAATGTAGTTTATGTCACGTGGCCACATCTGTAATCCCAATTGGTCACTAATTTGAGCCTTGATGGGTTGGGGGAGTTTTCTTCACTTTTGCCTGAACTCCCTAACTCATGGCAGCTGCTTTCTATCGCTCCGAGATGGGTTAGAAGATAACCATCTTTTACCTACAAGGCAGATATGCAAAGGATTGATCATTAAAGAAGAACTTCATCACAAATGTGAGTTATGAGGATACCTGATGAACCAATAAATGTACTTTGTTATGGACGTCTTGTTGAGTTTATCTATCTGCATCTGCACAGTTTAAAAATCCACTACTGTGCAGAATACAGAAAAGTATCTGTTCCTTCTCCCTTTTTTTTAGACAAACTATTGGCAGTACCTGAAAAACGGAAGTTTGGGGAAGATTGAAATCAAAAACTCCACGTATTTCAGCTACTCCAGTTTTAGTAGCTGATATTACAAGGTTCACAATAAAATGGTGAGTGCTTATGACCCTGAACAACATCAATGAGTCTTAAGGATTTCCATATGGCTACTGAAGAATGGAGAAGCGTCAGGTGAGCCTTTAGTGTATCCCTGGAGATTAACAAAAGAAGGCAATTTCAAGACCAAATGTTCAACACCCCACTTTTCAAAAGGACAGCTGCTTTAGATTGCTGGCATCTGCCATATCCAGCTCAGCTGAATTACTCTAGTATCAGTTAAGGGATATATGGCGATACGTGGAGACACCAATGGCCATTCTCTTGAAAGTGATATTACTCTGATCCACAGACACAAAAAATGCAAAATACTTTTCTGAGAAAGATTATTCTTCTGAATGCAAACTATAACAGTGCAACATAAATTGTGACAGTGCAACTATATCTCATTTCTTCTTCCTAGAATGAGTTTCATCATTAACTGCAGAACTAAATCTAAAACCACAATCTATCATGTTGACAAAGAAAAAGACCCATAGATTGTGTGTATAAATGATGCCTGGAAGCCCAGAAGTAGCTCTGGATTCTGAGTTTGCCATTTATTCATTCAAACCCTATCTCATGAGAATTCTTGTCTGACTAAATGCCTGTCTTTCTCAATTTAAGTGAGCAATGTCCTTGCATATAACCTGTATCAGCAATCCCAAATCTCATTCCTTCCAGATGTTTTGAATTTAATTCCTACAAATACCAGCAAGCACAGAAGATGGCAACACTGACTATAGGATTATGGGAGTTAAAGACCATCCCATTCAATGTGTGCAGAATCCCCAAGTTTATTGGTTCTGTATATGAAATCTACAAATCTAAATTAAACGTTAACCCTGATAACATACGATGTCCTTTCTTGAATGACTCCAGACTTCTTCACAACCTCACTCAAGTTTGCAAAGAGCTGAAACCTCTTTATAGTTATTGGTTGCAATTTCTTGCTTGTTTTTTTTCTTGCCTCCATTTTAACAAATTAGACACCATTCAGCGCCATGTCTGAATAGGGTATCGAAGTTGTAAAGACTTTTTAAATTGACCTATAATAATTTTTCTCCTGAAGACAGGTTTACAACAGATATTCGGACAAGACATAATATGTTTCATGCTGCAGATGAGTCAAAGCTTCATGCTGTAGCACATGCTTTATGCACAAGACTCAGATCTGATCCGCAGAGTAACCAGATAGGACTGGAAAAGACTAAGGCCCTGCCAGAGGCCGGGGGATCTACTGCCAGTTAGCACTGGGCAATGTTTTTCAACCTGGTATCCTCTTGTTAGGTTGGATTTTAAAACATAGCATTTCTGAATCAGTATGGTTCAGACTTAAATATAATAGGTTCATATGTTCATACCAAGTATGTCCGGCAACATTCCTAACATTTTGCTGGGATAGGAAAATTATGCCTAATTTCTCCTTTAAAATTGAAGGTAAAGAAATAACACTCAAATTTCAGCTGATGGTTTCCCTGCACTGAATAGAAGTTGTAAGCAGAAGGATTGACAACAGCCTGTCAGTTCATATAAAGAGTGGAACAAATTGGGGAAAATGCTATTAAGAGTTTCATGAGAAAATTCCTTAGAGTATCATGGTAATCTATTTGAAAAACCTTTTGGATAACTCCAGTCACTTACAATGAGCCATATGTGATACAGCATAAATGGGCACACATACACCCTCATACATATATACACACAGACACATTGATGTGCTATTCCAAGAATTTAGCTACAGACTACAGAAAGAGGCTACAGAAAGAGGGTAGATCAGTGCAGGAGAGGGCACAGTGGGATCCCAGGGTACCTCGCAAGCAGGGTGCACAGGGAGTAGAGAGGCATGTGATGCTGGCAGGAGGTGAGTGGCTGGGGCCCCGGGCCCTCACCCTTCTTGAACTCCTCGAGCAGCGTATCTAGGCGGGTGTCATGGAAAACACAGTGCAGCGGGCGGTGATAGAAGCGAGTAACTGTCTGCAGTGGTGTGCAGTCATCAGGATCCACGAAAGCCAAATCCTTGACAAACAGCAAGTCGACAATGTTGTCTCGTCGCTCACCTTCATATACAGGGATGCGGGTATAACCTGAGCGAAGAATCTCAGAAACGGTAGAGAAGTCAAGTATGGCATCAGAGTGCAACATAAAGCAATCATTCAGAGGCGTCAAGATGTCCTCAACTACCTTGGTGCGTAACTCCAATGCACCCTGGACCATGGCCAGCTCCTCACTCACAAGATCACCATGGGGGTCAGCAGCCCGCAGGGTCTCCAGCAGGTGCTCCCTTGTGGAGAAGGTGCTCAGCTCTTGATGCAAAGCCCAATCCAGCAATCGGCTGAGTGGATAGCATATGGGGAAGGTGGCGGCCATAAGCAGGCGGGTGAGAAAGAGTGTGTGTGCAGCAATGGCTAACCCGTGGCGGGAACAAATGGAGTAGGGCAACACCTCACCCCCCAAGAAGACGACACTGGTGCAAAGCAGCACAGGCAGCCACGGCACACCTTGGCTGTCTTCGGTCAGGGAAATGGGACTGGCTTGCAGGGCAGCACATAACCAGCCAGCCAGCGTGGCGTTGGCACCCGCCTGTCCGAGCAGCAGAGTGCACAGCAGGTGAGTGCCGCTTCCGCCTCGGCCGCGCGCAGCCTCCACCTTGCGCGCCTGATCCCTCTCTGCAGCCGAGCCACTGTTGCGCAGTACCCGCAGCTCCATCGGATCGAGTGACAGCACGGCCAAGCGGAGGCCACTGAACAGCGCCGACAGAGCTATCAGGATTAGGGCGCCCAGAGCCCGTAACCAGCCGGCGGTGGGCAACGGGGTCAGCCACTTAGCCGAGCCCGCCGGCGGCGCTTCCACTTGCAGCACGAAGCCTCCCGGCGCGCCGTGCAGTTGCCAGGCTCGTCCATCCCAAGCGCAGAGCCCGAAGCGACGCCCTTCAGGCCCGGCGCCGGGCTCACCCTTTCGCGGCTCCCGCACTCTCACCTCGGCTAAAGCCGAGCCGGCCGAGCCTCCGGGCAAAAGCGGGCCCAGCACTTCCACGTCCGAGGCCCAGGCGCTGCGTTCGGGGCAGCGCTCCACCTTGGCTGGTTCCTCCACGAAGACGACGCGGTGCACAACCTCCTCGCTCGCGCTGCTGCCGTTACTGGCGGCGTTCCCTTCGGCCGGCGGCTGGAAGTAGAGGCGCAACAAGAAGCGGGAACCCTCAGCCGCCCTCAGTGCTCCCCCTTCCAGCCACACGCGCCCGGGCGCCGTATCCTCTGGCCGCAGCCCCAGTAGCCACGCCGCTCCGCCAGGGGGCCTGGGCGACAAGGAGAAGAAGAGAAGCAGAACAGCGCCTCGGCTCCGACCCCAACAGCCGGCGTTCCTGCGCTCCAGCCCGCGGCCCAAAGCGGCTACCGCCTGCCCCACCATCCTCAGCAGCCAGGCGAAAAACCGGGCTTCGAGGAGCAGGCGCCGGCCGCACGTGACTCTCTCGAGGCGCTGGGGGCGGCCGCTGGACCACGTGTGTATGGGGCGAGCCTGCCAGCCCCTTGGCTTTCCTCAGAGGGTCGGGGGCGCCACGTTTACCCACACGGTGGAAGCCTGCTGCGAAGATGGCCCCGGATGTGATCGGTCCCAGAGCTAGGCTTCTCTTCAATGTGGAGCCCACCCAGTCCCCATTTCCATTTCCCTGCGAAATCGGTGGGTCTCTGTTAACAGCGCATTGGTCCCGGGGGTCCCTGTGCCCAGCTGTGATTATTGGGGGCAGGCAGCGTGCAGGGATGCATCGCGAAGTGCAGTGAAAACGCGCAGTCCTTAATGCGTCCTTGACCTGCTTATCTGGGCAACTTGCCAGATCTTTCTACTCTCTAAATATTGGTATATGTAGAGCACATTCGGATTCTGGTGCAGTGATGGGAAATAATGGAAGTTTGCTTCCACCGAGAAAAATTCGAAAGGCAAATCGTAATACACTGGAATTATACTTAACGTGTCAAATCCTGAAGATCCAGCAAGATGCAGTCAAACAAGAGGACTGTATGAAACACTAGCTGTGTCAACAGATCTGATTGATGAGTTTTTATTAGCCTAACATTTACAGTAATTGCACTAGGATTATTATTTTTTCTTCCTGGTTAGTCTCCTTTAATGGCAAGCTAATAAAAATTTGCTTTTTTCTACTTTTCTAAATATTTGAACGTTGTATTAATTTTGAAATAGCAATTTGAAAATGAAAAAACAATAATGTATACTATTGACTGAGTGTATTGGACTGCTAGCATTCAAGGCAATGTTGCTTAAATGTTCTTCAATCATACACCACAAAAGAAACATAAGGAAAATACAAGAACTGCCAATGAAACAAATGCCATTTTCCAAATGTTTTTGTCTGTAAGAATATGGGAATTTATCTTGGGGGAACATTTCTATTTGCATTTATCTAGTATATGCTTTCTCTTTTTTAAAACTAAATTTTGCACCAGAAAATTTAATCCAGATTAAAGTTTTTATTTAACATTTAATTTTTTATCTACTCGATGCCATAATAGCAAGTCTTAAGTACAAACTTGATGATCAAAATTTTCTTCAACAATTTGTCATTAAGAAACATTTCCAGCCCTTTTTTAAGGTATCCATTGTTTCATTTCCTGTTTGCACTTTTCAGGTTGCATGTCTTCCATTCAGCTTCAACTGGGCAGAGTCAGACTGGTAGCCAGTAACTATGCTTGCAAACTGTTTACTGGGTCAGTTTTCTATTAATACTTACATTATTAATGTTATTACTTACACTTCAATGAATTAGGTTTCAGCGAGTGATCTGTTCTTGAGAGCCAGCTCAGATGGAGACTGAAGCAGTGGATGGGTTGTCAAGTGTGAATGCAGAAAAATTGGCAGGCTACCTGGTGAATCTCCATGAGTGATGGATAGTCCATGGACCAATGTTTGAGACTCACCAATGAAAAGCATAGCCAGACCCTGTTGTTTGAAAGGGGAGTGTTCTACATTGTAATTTTGGACATTATCATGAATGAATCTTAACTTTGTGGCAACCTCTCTCAACCTGACATTCTCCTGTTATTGGGAGCTTTCAACTTCTAGAATTCCAAGACTACTGGAAATTGTAGGACTTGTAATCCCAACAAAATTAGAAGATGCCTGGTTGGGGGGAACAGAGCCAACAGAGTAATGGCCATCTGATGGGAGTCAAGATTTAAAAGGGCAACCTCATTTTGCAATCTTGTTTTCTTAGATGTGTATAAAAAGATGTGCAATAATAAATCTATAATTAAACATACTTTCAGCATAAGAAAGAAATCTTTTCAAAATATTTGAGTAGTTAAACTGTAATATATTGGTCATTTCAGAGCGAAACTATAATTTGAACACCAACAAAGAAGAGCAAATGGAGTTTTGTGGGGGAATTTGGCAAGGGAGGTCAAAGGAAGACAGCTAAAAAAAAATCCCATGTGTCATTTTCTATGGGAAGCCAGCAATCTCGGATACCGAAAGGTTTTCCCATGGGCTTTAGAAAAATGAAAAGCTTTCACAAAATTTAATGGAGGGTGTTCCTCTTCTGTTCATCAGAGATCATGGAGATTGAGAAAAATGCTCTCATGAACTATCAAGGATATGTTGCCTTTATTTTTGTTCTTGAAGATGACAAGAATTGCACATGTTACAAGTCGAGGAAGAACATGTTGCAACCCCTGGAAGAAAAGGTGAAGGAGATCAAGCAAATCCGTCAGCCTGACTCTTATGGAAGTACAATCACACACCAGTCTAAAAAGGGGAAAAATAGGTGTAGAAAAGCAATGTGGATACTGAATATTCAACTGAGCTAAGAGTTCAAAAGGATATGTACAGGAAATGGAAGATGGATGTAATTACCAAGGATGCATACCAGCAAGTAACAACTAATACCTGCATAATATCAAAAATGTTAAAATACAGAGGGAACATAGGGAAGCTAAATGCAAAGAAGAAAGCTTTGTGGGGTATGTTAGCTGAGGAAGGAAAAAAAAAAAGAAGGGGATGGGTCTGCTGCCTGAGATGGTGGTAGAATGATAACAAATGATACTGGTAGAGTGGGGCAGAGATTTTCTGCTCCTTTGGTCTTCTTCCCAAAGGGGAACTGAATTTAGATGAAACTAAGCAGAACAGTTGCTACAAGGAGAGAATGGTCCAAGTGGCCCAAATTAACGAAAGAGATAATTAGGACCAACTGGCTACTTTCAGTATCCAGGATCAATCAATTACTGTACATCTGACACTTTTGAATGTATGTCATCTCAAAGCTCCTTTCTATGATCTTTAGAAATCATGAAGGATAGATGTAGTGACATAAGATTGGAGAAGGGAGAATATTGTCCTGTATTGAAAAATGAGAGAAATGGAAAAGGAACTTGATAATTATAGATTGTCTAGATTAATGCTGATAACAGCAAAATTCTAGAATAGATTATCAAGCAGTGAGTTTGTGAGCATTTAGATTAGAATATTGTTCGCAAGAGCTTCGTAAAGGTTAATCATGGCAAACCACTTCACAAACCACTTTTCTGGCCACTTTTATAACCAAATGGAATACGATGAACACAAAATCTCTCTCTCTTTCTCCCTCTCTCTCTCTCTCTCTCTCTGTAAAGGTTTATAATAAATGTATGTTAGTGGCTGTATATCAAAATGGGAGGAGCGGTCAAGTGGCATGCTGCAGGCTTCCATTTTAGTCCTTTTATTAGAACTGTAATAATGGAAATATGGTGTGGGATCTATGATTCTTTGTTCTTTGTGTACGTGCTAGGACAACGGAGCCTTGCGGAGGTTGGCTGGAACACGGAGCAAGGAACAAGGACAAATTGTTGCCATTTCCAAACCAGAACTGTAACAAGCTTGAACTTTGCAGCCTTGTACGCTTTATGTGAATAATCAGTGCATGTTGTGTGGTGTAATGCGTTCGTGATAGGACGTTAACAAAAATTGCTTCTAATAAAAGAGGGTTTCGAAGTTCGCTCTGGGCTCTCATCCCGGGACAACCTTGCGTTTTGTCTTCTTTCCATGAGAGACCACCACAATATGGAAACTATTTTATGTATAACTTGGATGAGGAGTTGGACAAAGTGTTTATCAAAATACCAGCACTGGACCAATCCAAAGCTAGAATCACTTTTCAGATGTTCTTTGAGAGACCCATTAGAATGAAAATCCCTCATTTTATACTATACAAAGACCGAGTCTTCACTCATACAAAAAGAAAAAATAAAATAAAAAAACATATTACTCCAGGTCTATCACAACACAATCACAAATGATTGAAAATCATTTCAGGAAGCATAAATTTTAAAAAACAAAACAAAACATCAAGCCATCTTCCATATATATATACATACAGTGTGCCGGTTGGTTTACGAATTGTTTTGTGCTTCCATTTCGTAGTCTTCAATTACAATTACATTGTATATACTCTCATATTTTCAATCAAATATTAAATACATTAATATCATTATTAATCAATCATTTGACTATACTTCTATTCATTCATGTTTTATGAAATAATCATATTTTACTTAATTTGTTTTATGACAGTTCATATTATCATCTCAAATCTATCCTACAATCATTTTGTAGATATAATAAGAAAAGAATACATCTTTATATATTTATTATTTTCTAAGAATCTACATATTTCATTACCATGTTTTATTGTCTAACCATTGATAGAATAGATCCCAAATTTTATAAAATTGTTTATC